AAAAAAGTCAGGCGGAGGGACCTAGACACGGGTTTCACAAACATACTTATCCATGGGCATGTAATGGTGTATGCCATGCAATAAGAAGTGGATCATCAAGAACTTGGGATGATCCGGCATGTAATAGTCGATATGGAACAAGAGTCGGTGGAACCCATATTCGAGCAAAGTCCAGACGAAATTGCCAAAGACGAAGGATAGGGTGGTTTTGAGGTATGCCTCAGCAGGGAGAGAGAAGACAAGGCCAATAGGAAGCCATGGGCCGACTTTGAAGGACGCTAGAGGGACTCCACCGAATTGAAGAAGAGAGCGCAGGCCAATGTATGCCGCTATGGGCAGCCATATCGCGGGCACCACCCACCACTTCGTTCTCGTGAGCATCTAGAATGTCTTAGTCAGATGTCAGCGCAGCGCAGAAGTACACGCCAACCTCGAGAAGCGGCGATGCAAAGAGGCGTGCAGACTCGGGGAGGTGCCTAGGTTGGTGAACTTGTTGAAGATAATACGCTTTGCTACGCAGAGCTGTGGTCAACACATAAGCCCGATTTATTCACGGCGAAAAACATGCCTAAGGTTGCAGTCCCACATCTGTCTCATCAAGGGCTTCCTCAGATCCAGGAATTGATTCTTTTCATAGTCCGCTGCCTCGTCTGTGTCTTCCGGAGTGAAGTCATCCGTTGCAACCCAGTCGTTGCTCACGACGCTCTCCCCGGCACCTAGTCTTCCGATGAGAAACTCGTCCAACATGTCATATGCGCTCTCTGAGTGCACATGCTCCTCTGCGCCTTTCATCGCGTCTTCGACGTCCCTTCCGGCATATTTGAGGATGAACTCTTCACCGCCGGGGTGGTCCGCGAGAAAATTAGTAACGTCAAGGACTTTACCCCTATGGGTGATCCAGCAACTGCTCTCAGAATGATGTTGAAAAACATCTGAGGCAGTGAATATGCGGATGCGCTTAGACATGGCGGGGTGAAGCTAGGCACGATGACGGGCGGAGGAAGTTGAGCTCAAGAGCGAGAGCAGTCACACCATTTGGCGGCCTCTTGCAAATCCGCGCCGTTCTCCGTTCCGCCCCGGGTTGCCCCGCGCTAGCGCCCAGACCGATCCTGTAACTAACATCAACAAACGCGATTCCCTCCAAGGTGCTCAAGGTGGTAAACTTCTGGGAATGCATGATATTCTGGGTGTATGGAACCAGGGAGATGTTATTGGAAGAGCGGTGGCTACACATTAGGCACTCTGTCACACTATAGACATTATCGCACTAGCCCGATGCCCTTCTCCGCGAGTTCACGACTCCACTCTCTCAAAATGTGTTTCTGCACCTTTCCGCTCGCCGTTTTCGGAGCCTCGCTCGGAACACCATCCTCCCCAAAGAACCAAACCCACGTTGGTGCATTCTGCATGGACAGTCACAGTTGGTCCCTATATTGTCAGGAAAACGCACCTGCGGGTTCATGCTCTCCCATACGATCGTCCTCGCGCGCTCTCTCGATAACATGGCGCCAGCCTTGAGCCTAATCCAAGCACTGACTACTTCACCGTATTTCTTATCTGGAACGCCGACGACTGCGGCCTCGAGGATGGACGGGTAAGATGTTAAAACGTTCTCGATTTGTACAGGGAACAAGTTCTCTCCTCCTCGAATGATGATATCCTGAATGGGGTATATTGTCGAGTTTACAAAATCACTAGGTTGGTTGCGTACCTTGACTCTGCCCACAACTATACAATACCATGCTCAGCATCAAATATCAGAGGTAGCGGCATATCAACGCACCGCGCAGGTAACCGTCGCCGTCTAATATTGCTTGATCACCCGTATGCATCCATAATTTTCCGTTCTCGTCTTTGCGCATAGTCAAGTCCGTCTGATCGTTATCACCCCAGTAGCTTTTTGGTAACACAAATTAGTCAGCGAAGAGACAGGCGATTGCAACACGCACCCTTTATGAAGCAAGTAACCAGACACGAGTAGTTCCCCTGGTGTGTCTACGGGAACAACTTTTCCGGCGAGGTCTACGACCTTCGCCATGACATGTGGACGGACCTTCCCCACGGTCTCAACACGCTGGGTTATGGAATCCGCAGGTGTCGTTTGAAAAGATACAGGACTAGTCTCCGCTATTCGAAAGATGATCAAGGGTTTGGATATCTGTGACAAAAGCCGTGGGACATACTCATTCCGTACGCATTCGTCAGCTCGCGTAAGTTCAACTTTTTCATCAGCTGCTTCATGAGCTCTATCGGGACAGGCGAACCTGCGGCAATTCCTGTCCTGCGGGAGTATAATCAAGGAAAGCCAATCCCCCTGACCTGGAAGAGACGAACCTCAGACAGCTAAAATCTAGCTTTTCCCCAGCCTGTTGTCTCCGCTCGACCTCGGAGAGAACACCCAGAAAGTGAGTTGGTACACCGTGCAACGCTGTACAGCGTTCGTTGATCACAGCATCAACTATTGCGTGCGGGTCATAAATCTCGGAGGGGTACACGACGGCTGAGCCGTGACTCCATGCAGCCAAATTCCCAAGGACAAGGCGTGCAGGCATCGAGGTAAGCATGACCCTGGCGCATAAATCAAGGGTTTACTTATCAAAACAATGAAAGAGTGGTGGGACATTGCAGACAATGTCATTTCCCGTAAGACGCATTGCTTGCCCAATCGAGATCCCATTGTTAAGAAGATTATGATGTGTGAGCTACCGATGTTCGTTGATAGAGGCCATCAACTGATGAAAACAGAACACACGGAGACAGCCTTTGGCACCCCAGTCGTCCCACTTGAGGTTGGATTCAGCACGCAACGATCGTCCATTTGGAGGAAATGAGAAAGACCTTGTGAATTGGAGATTGATCACGTCGTCTTTGTCTAGGGTGTTCTTGGTTTCTTCGACAAGACGATTTTCCTTAGTGCCCCCATCTTGCCATTGCAAAACCTCGCGAAAGTCAACGGCACAGTAGAAATCGCCAAGCATCTCATGGAACTTCTTCGGTTGATGAGTATTATCGACGACAACGATGTGTTTGAGGTCAGGCAGGGCCTCTTCTTGAAGGTCCCCAGGAGAGAACCTCCTGAATGATGGGAGCGCTTCGGCCAGCAGCGTCAAATATGATGAAGTGCGGATTTGTGGCACAAGAAAAAGATGACTGATACCAACAGCGCGGATAGTCTCAATCTGCGAAAAAAAAAGGGTCGACACGCTAAGCGAGAGGAGACATCGAGGCACCTCACCAACTCTTGGACACGATAGGCAGGATTTATGGTGACGAGGATGGCTCCGATGCTGGAGCATGCCCACTGTAGCATTGCATACGCGCTTGATGGGAGGATAAGCATCGACCTCTGGCCACTATACAGTAAGATACTCATACCTTGTGTTCCCCATGACCACCCCAACACGATCTCCTTTCTTCACGCCCAAGCCTACAAGCCCTCGGGCAAGGGCTCGAAAGTGACTTTCGAACTCATTGAAGTCCCAGGCCAGGTGCCTCTCCACACCCATGTTTCGTGGCAAAGGCCCACCATGTGCTCTGGGACGTTCTTGCGTGCAGATGAGAGCCGGGCGATCTGGTCTCCGGGACAATACCTCCGCAGTGAAGTATTCATGAAGAGTCCTGTTGTCGAGCGGAGGCTCACGTGCGCCCTGAACAGCAGAAAGTGTGATCCGACAACGGCATGGAGATCCAAGGGTGTTCAGTACCGGTCGAGAGAGTTTGTGAGATCCAGTGGTTAGGAGCATCTCCCGTTCGGACTAACTTGGCAAGTTCGGCTTCGCCACACCAAGTGAAGTGAGTTGGAGTTGCAGTGGGGGTTCCCCGCACTCACTCCGCCGTGTCTCACTCTGAGACTGTCGTCTGTGACGTAATGGCTCTATAGTGTATGATCGGGGTTATGAATTGAACGTCGAGAAACGATGCCCTCCGCTCTCGTATTAATCGCCGATGGGACAGAAGAGATGGAGTTGTCAGTAGACTGCAAAAACCATATCAGCACCATCTGCTAATTGTCTTTCGCCTACCAGCACCATCGTATATGACACCCTGGTCCGCGCTGGGGTGAAGTGCACATCCGCTCTCGTCTCACCGTCCGGCACGTCTGGTAACGACGAAGCTGAGCCAGGTGCCGTTCAATGCTCTCGTGGCATCCGCATCGTACCGGATGTATCGCTGTCTCGGCTCAGCGCATCCAACATCGTATGTATCTCTCCATCGTCGACATGTCAGGGGCCGCTTAACGTAGTGATGCGCTCCAGGCAGAATATGACGCCATTATTATCCCAGGTGGCCTGAAGGGTGCCGAGACCATATCTCAGTCTTTCCTCGTCCAGTCTTTGGTCAAAAACTTCCATGAGAACGGAAAACTTGTAGGAATGATCTGCGCTGGTAAGGGATCGCCGAATCTGGAGATGGGAAGTCAGTCTTCATCCGAACTATAAAAAAGCTAGTCTCGTTGCGAAAGCCTCTCAGCTACCGCGACAGCCCTTGACGTCCCATCCTTCTGTGAAGGGGCGCCTGGATAAAGGTAGCGCCTGTCGCCATTCTTACACAGCTCCACGCCTCAACGCCGTTGTTTGATAGACTTTGAGTATCGCGAAGACTCGGTCGTAATTTCTGGAAACCTCATCACCAGGTACTTAGCATCACCCTTCACTGACGGTGTACACTGATAGCTACCACCTCCCAGCCGCGGGCCAGGCACGTTCACATTATTCTCTAGAGAACAAGACTGGGCTAAGGTATTTGACCTCACCAGGAACTGCTTTTCCTTTCGCGTTCACGCTCGTCGAAAGCCTCTATGGGGCGCAGAAACGTTCGGAGGTTATCGACCCCATGGTCTTTCCTCCCGGCACCCCTCTGTAGTATGTCAGATATTAGCCGCCATCGTCCCTAGTCATCTGTGCTATATTGGTATGAAATGGTGCTCATACACTGCCCTACCGGGTCTCATAGCAGTAGGGAGAATCAAAGTCTGGTGTTGGGAAAAAGTTATTCACAGATGACCACCGCAGGGGTCGAACCTGCAATCTCCTGATCACGCTGAGATGTAATTCAAATGAAGTCGTAGTCAGACGCGATGCCATTTCGCCAGGCGGCCGATTCGGAGGCATTGATGTTCAACGTTAGGTTCAAACCCTCAACACTACTATCGATTGCAGGATGCATGCAAATTAGGAGTGGTGAAAATACATTGAGGCCAAGCACCGCATCTATACAATCTACAACTCCATTTTCTCTTCCCAGCCTGGGTTCTTTTGCAGCAAAACGAACCCTTCCAACACGCTTGCGAACGGAATGTATTCCTCCGTTGCAAACTCCGCACGTTCGGTGGTTGCCAGTCGCACGGGTGTCTGATAGGTTTGGAACCCAGAGATTGTGCGCGGTTTCCCCGCCTGACCCACGACGTCGACAGCCTGAAAGCGGGGATAAGAACAAAGGACAAAACCTGGGTACGTGTGCTTACAGTGCCAACGCGGACAGTGACAGGCTTCGGCTCGAGGCCTTCGTCGAGAGTGATAAGAAACCGTGGGTACATGGCTGGAACAAGGAAGTAAAGCATCCAATGGTACTTGTCTAAGACGACTAAGGCGAAGACAATGTTAACCCGTTGTCGAATATGATATCTGATATCTGAACACTTACAGGCTTTCGCATCTGTGAATGCGGTCAGTGTTGCTAGCAAACCAGCGACTGCCGGTTTGCTGAGGATGGTCCGATCGAGGTAGAAAGGGTTGATGCCGATTGTACCTTTACCCATGTGTACAAGACCCTGGGCGATGCGTACCATGAAGAGGCAATCAGGCTCCTTGTGGTAGTAACCTGCGAGTTGCCGCAACATCTGGGCCAGGCGGGCGTTGTTCGTCCCTGCGCCAACAAGTCCCATAGCAAAGATCGCATTAAGCGCGACGGCTATGTCATTGTCATGGCTGTACTTTGAAAGAATATCGAGGATAGGGAGTTGTGGATTCGAAGCGGAGACAAGACCTAGGGCCAACGGTACACTTTTTCGGATCACAGGATCGCCGTAATGCATCTACGGTAGTACGCTTTAGTTCCATGGCATAGACAGCAAGATCGTACGTACAAGATGATTGAATTGTCGGAGAGACATTTCCGCACCAATATCCTCGCCCATAGCCACAAGTGCAATCCCAAGAACTGCGAATGCTTGGAACGTATCATCTTGCTTTGTGTCCGATTTTTTCTTCCCCCCTTCCTGCTCGGGATCCGCGGCAGCATCCTTCGCATTCAGATGTTCGCCGCATTGCTGCAGCATGGTCTGCACGCGGAGCACATTGCCAGTTCCGACAAATGCACACATCTCAACGAGGATCTGGATATGCTTTGATGCTTGATGAGGAATTGCTTTCAGTGTTTCAATTGTCGCGTCGTACGAATCACTAGCTTGCACGCCTGTGGACAGATGTTCGATCAGCCTCAACGACAACATCGGCGGGCCACTCACCGACATAGAGAAGCGCAAGGCCTAGCCCCAGGAAACGTGTCCACTTCTCATCCAGAGCACGATCATCCCTTTCCATCAAAGTCTGGAGTATGACAAGGGCGGCGTCGCCGTTTTCGCTTCCAACGAAAATGAGACCAACAGCAAGCGCGGCCAGGGCAGCAATCTCCATGCTGATCTCGTCATCAGATATGAGAGGAAGTAGCAGGAAAAGGATGTCCTCGCGGTGCGAGCCGGCATAGGCAAAGCCAAGGCCGATAATGGCAGATGTCCGGAGAGGAACGGACTGATCGGATATGTGATCGCCGAGAAGTGCTAATGCGGCGTCGGCCTCGGAACGAACCCCCGTGTTAAGGATGCCGGTGGCAAGAAAAGCACCAGCCTAAGAACCGCGTGTCAGCAAGAAGAGCCGATTATTGAGTGCAAATTCGAACCTTGATATACTCTTCAGATGAGTAGGTATATTTGTCGACGTGGCTCAGACCAATATCGGCATCCCACAGTAAACTGAGACCAAGGCTCGCGGCTGCGGACAACATCCCTGTAGGCAAGGCGTGAAGTCATCTCCACAGGATTAATATTTAGCACGAGTTCCTTACCGTGGTCTTTGTTCTTGTAGATCCAACTGTTCCCCTCTTCCGCGTCAACCATGAGCTTGTCATTTCCGAACCCCGCATTCACAAACGCATTAACGAAGGTGCCAGCTAGATTCCCTCGTGCTGAGTCAACGCTCGCTGTTGATGATCCTTATGTCAGGAGGTAAATATAAGTATGCCTGAAGGAGCCAAGGTCAACGTACGCGAAGTCTCTAGATGAGACTTATAGACATCTTCTAAGCTCTTTGGATCCTGCACGCCAAGTTCCTTCCCGAACTGTTTGAAGTGCGTGCTTAGGCGCGAGTTGAACAAAATTTCCTGTAAATCCTCGGGTAAATCCTCAAGCGTTTCATCCCCTTCATCTTCGGTTGTTGACTGCTGTAACCAGTGATATGGGACTTGGGCCCGAGCGAGTATATAAGCAAGTTGACGTTTCATCTGCCTATGCAACTATCAGTGGAATGGGATTGGCATAATGACATTACTCATACGGGTTGCCAGGTGCATGGAAATCCTTACGGATGAGCTCCGGGTCATTGAGCCGGATAGCCAAAGAAAGAGCCTCGGGGAATCGCTGATGTTTTTCGTAGATCATATGGGCCGTTCTCAAGAAGGCAACGTCATCTTGTGGTGGGAGGAGGTTCACACATCTGGCATTGTTCGTCAGAGGCATGGATACGGGTACATACCAATTACTTACGCAATCATATACGCAGCTACGCGACCATAAGTATTCGCATCCACGAGATTGACAATTCGATCTATGACTTCCAACTCTTCCAGTAAATCGACCGCATCCGGCTCGGCGTTGTGCTCAAGTAAGAACTTTGCGCACACCAGTGCAAGGTCATGGAGATCCTCAAGTGTTCCAACCAAAAGTGGTATTTGAGGCATTACTTTTTCGCCGTCTTTATTGTCCGTGTCACTATCAAGCCCAGCCGCGCCTACCTCCGGTGCAGCTTTCGGTACCTCTGTCTGTTCACGGAGATTGTATTCTTCACCGAGCTCGGCAGCCAGATGTCGAACGTACTCATGCCCCCAATCCCCAGGGTCAGCAAGCGGTGATGTTGGGGGGCGTAGGGAAGCCGCAAGTAGGCGGTAGCGTAGTGTGCCACGAGGCTCTGTGTCAGAGTATGTCATGGCGAGCACTGAGAGTATATCCGCAAAGAGACTCTGCAAAGGTGCCAATGGTCAGGGCTATCTCTCAGGCACTGGGAAGACTGAACCTGCACCTTGTCTTCTGATGGAGACCAGAGTTCATAAAGATTCTGTAGCTCTGGATAATGGGGTCGAAGAAACTTCAAAGGCTTTGGAACAGAAGTCATGGATGAAGTAGATGTCCGAATGAGGGTACGGAGTGTCTCGAGAGCTGGCCGGTACAAGGCGGTATCTGGCTCCTGGACAAAGATTCGATCAGTGTCGAGGAATGAATTAACTGCGCGCACTTTCAGTCGTTCTACAAGCATTTCTAGTTCTCCTCTGAGCTGTAGATCTTCTTCCGACTAGTGCACAGTTTAACTCCAGTGTCATTTGGGTCAACTAGAACGCACCAGCTCTTCCCCTTCCTTTTCGTCGGGCTTCTTCGTGGAGGCTGCACTAATCTTCTCATCTTTTTCCTTCTTCTTTGGATCCTTTGACGGAACGGCGATGGCTGCTTTGGTAGATTCGGGCATGGTGAATAAACGAAGCAGTGAACACGCGTCCGCCCATCTCGAATCTGACCGCGACGCGCAAGTCTCCGTGACTTGGTCACGACGTGTGACTTAAGTTACTTGTTTTGTTCCACCTCCGTGACTAGGTTGTGACCGGATGATTACATAACGAGTCCGTCGGTCGCTCACGACCGCCTGGAATCATCAGTGGCGTTCCGGACGAAGCACAGTCTCGCTGGTTTGTTGACTCCCCCATCATTCCTCACCGTTGCCCAGGACGCTGATGCTCACATTTACTCTCCACTCCTCAAGTTAATAATTCGTCGCATTCTTTTGTACGCAACATGGCTATGGTGTGTATAATTTCTCCGAAATCAGCAACCGTGTGTGACGATTGAAACAGGCGACTTTTTCGTCCGCCTCCGCCTCGCCGCCTAGCCTCCAATCATCATTTTCCTCCACAGCAGACAATGTCGAACCTCCAACCCCTTGCACCCCGCCCCGCGGGAGGTCGAGGTACCCTTCTAGTCTTGCTCATGACGGTCTACGGGTCCCTCTACACCGTCGGGGGACATCAAAAACATACGAACGTCTCGAAGACCTCCTCAAGGAAGCTGGTTATAAAGAAACACGTGTTTTCACCCCCGAGACTGAGCGACACAGAGAGCACGAACAGGATCTTGGAGACGGGAGACAAACTGATGGCAAGTTAAGGAATGGCGTTGAAACCGTGGTAGGGTTCCTTGCAGGGCTCGTACTTGGACAGGCCGATGAGCAGCCCACCGATTTCAAGGCTCCTGCAGGTGACCAAGTAGGACAAGCTACACTCGTTTCTCCTCTGCTACACAAGCACAGGCCTGCGTTAGACACCAGTGAGCTTGATGTTTGTATTGGTCACTGGTCACATTGAAAATTTATGTCTCACCTTTCAGGTTCAACTGCGAGGGCATCGTCATCGCAAATCCGGGGAACCCAAGGCCACCCACTCAGATCCAGTAGCCTAACCGACAGTGGGCGCCCACCCAATGTCCACCCGTCTTCAGCACGGGCTTATCTGCGTCACATAGCTTCTGCACCCAACATCCCCCGACAGGGACGTCTCAGGGAACATGCACCCACACCCGTTATGAAAAAGACTACCACTATCCGGAAAGGTGAACGTCGTACACAGCGTCCATCTCTTCCTCCAATGCCACCCTCATGGCTTGGGACGGTTGCACGGGCCGTCTTGGGTTTTCCTGGCGCTCGTATGGGAGGCCCTAATAATGCACCCCCTCACTCTCCACCGTTGCTCCCATCCGGGCAATCTAGATCTGGACATTCCAGCCTAACAACGAGCCGTTCCGGTACAGTCCGTAGGCATAGGCGATCTGATCGGAAGCGCCCA